GACATAGAGACATAGGTGTATACTGGATTCTAGGCCACTTTTCAAGCCCTTGCACAAGGTTTATGTATTTCACATCACTCAAACGACAGGCTCCTGAGGCAGGCTGGGAATGGGAGAACGCCTGACAGACAGCACAGCAGCTGATGTCAATGGTCGTGATGACCTGAACATGAGCTTCTGGGGCCCAGGTTAATACACTGTAGGTGACTCCATTTTCCAGAGGTAAAATCATGATGAAGCCCTTCAACAACCAAATGTACCTCTGGGTCACAGTGAGTATTTGTGTCCTGCACCCAGCCAAGCACACAGCACACACTGGAGACTGTGCTGCATAACAAAGGTGAGGGTGGGGGTGGGGTTTGCAGGCTCCTCACAAGAAGGGTCTGCAAGGTTTTGAGTACACCACTGGAGCTCAGTCTTGGACAAGCTTATGAGCCTCTGAAGAATTTGAATGTACAGCCCCTTTCAGTGAAAAGGATGACTCATAAACAGACATACAGAACCCGACTTGACCTTATTTTGGCAGTTAAGATGGTTTTCCTAGAGGGAGATCCCAGAGAGATGAGGAAAGGGGTCCCTGATGTCATGAGGCCTGGGAAGTACCCTAGAGCACCTGAAATTTTCTTTCCTAGACTATGTCTCAGAGAATGCAGTATGTCCTCCAGACAGTGGAGTTCTTGCCAGGCCCAGTGAGCCCTTCTGACAGGAGTCATGCAGATGAACATCCTTGAGCATTCTCTGGCCTTTGCTGGCTGGCATTACTTCTCCTTCCCACTTCTGAGACAGGGTCTTGCTCCATAGCACAGACTGGCCTTGAATTCATGATTCTCCTGCTCCAGCTTCCTCCAACACTTCTAACCTCATACATGCCATTTTCTGCCTTCTGGAAGTCAACCAACAGTCCAGCATTGCCCTCTTCCTTCTATCTTTCCCTGGTGCTCCCCACCTGGGCTTGTCAGACCCACTCTTGCTCCAGCCCACATATGGTCTTGGTAGTCCATCTTCCTCCTCTTGGCCTGCCTGGCTCCACATTCATTTGTTGCTGGATAGTCTTTCCTGACCTTCCTACTTCACATTGGGTACAGAACAATAAGGGGGATTTTGAATTTATTCAATGGTTTAAGTGACAGGACTGACTCAAGGCTGTTAACACACCCCACTTAAATAAGTCAATTTAACTTAGGGACATGATGAACTTAGGGACATGATGAACAAACCAAACCCCCAAACCCAATGCAATACCATTAAACAAAAACCCATTAAGAAAAACGTTCCTTTGGTCAGATTAAATAGACTCAACCCACCCTGCATTTTTCAGTAGTTTTTAAATGGGAAACTTAAAATTTCTACCCATTTAAGATTTAGGTCTCTTGGAAATTCACAACCTGACGCCTGAGCTCAGGACTAAATGTCTGCATGAAGCACCTACCTGATGGGATTGAAAGCACCTTAGGATTTTAGACGTTAGTGTGTAAGCATCTCAGTAAGTGAGAAGGCTGGAGGAAGCCGAGACAGAGATATCTTTTAGTTCAGCCAAAAGGAGTCTGGAATGTTCTGATTAAAAAGCTAAGAGGTTTGAGCAGGCTATCTGAAGATGTATGGGGACAGTGGTATGCAGGGGCCCTGCCACTTGCTCCCTTGGGTCTCTTCCAACTTCCCCCCAGAACAGGGCAACTCTTGTGGGTGAACTTGGGAGATCAGCCATTAGCTTGACACCTCTTCAGTCACACAGGAGCAGGACTTGAGAGGGACAGGTCACAAACAGTGGCCTGTGTTTGTTGGTCAGGGCTATCCTGTGCTCTCCTTGGCACAGGCTGCTTGTGGCACCACAGTACTGGAGCATACGGGGGGTGGGAGAATTCTTGAGAGAGGAGCCTGACAAGGTGCCTGGGGTACAGCAGGCATTCCGTAGATGTGTATGGGGAGGAGGCTACACGGCAGCAGAACAGACAGGCTCACATAGCTTATCTGGGGTTCCTTTATCCTGACAATGAGATTCCTTCAGTTAATCCTGACAGGATTTGTACACACCAACTGGGGCAAGCCACTCATTCCAGGTGTGACTCTGGCTGCTCCAAGCCATTAAACAAAGCGCCTCCTTTCAGCGGCCATTTTCAACAAGAGCTATCACAGTGTAAGTGACCTTGGCAGCATTCATTTTTGGCCCTGGCTTTAGGCAAACGCTGCTCACAAAGTGGGAATTACACGGCATGGTCGCTTCTTTGCTCCCGTTTCCACCACCTGGCTCTGGGGACCTCTTAGCTGGTGGTGTTTGGCCTGTGTTGGAGGATGTGGGTGGCACCCCGACTTCTTATGACCAGCATCACTTCAGGTGAAATGTCTCTAGCCATTCCTATGTCCTGGGGGGTGTGGCAGGAATCACCTCAACTGAGAACACCTAACCATCAGATTCCAAGATGAAACAAAACAACAGGCCAAGGAGTCAGGTGCTCATCATGAGACAACTTCAGGCCATTTGGGAATTTTTCCAAGGCTAATGACTTCATTAAAACATCATTTACTTATTTATTTATTTATTTATTTATTTACTGTGTGTATGGGGAGGCACACATGCAATGAAGTGTATGCGGAGGTTAGAGGACAACTTGGGTCTCTCCTTTCACCATGTGGATCCTGGGGATCAAACTCAGGCTGTCAGGTTTGGCAGTCAGTATCTTTACCCACTGTGTCATCTCACTGGCCCAAGGCAGTGAACTTGCAAGACCTCCACTGCTGACATCATTTGATCCAAGGGATCTAAATCCAAAATGCACCTGCTCAGTGGTGTATAAATGTTCAAGATTGTTCACCATCTTCCTAGATGGGCCCTTCCCATGCCCCTTTGTTATCACAGCCCAACACCAACCCTACAGTGGGAGAAAACAGACTACCCAGATTTTCATCCCTGGAGAAATAACTCAAAATGAGCTCAGGTTACTGGTAGGGATTCTTTACTACTAGACTTGACAGTAAATGTTGCCAAATGGCCCATTTTAGTACCAGTTCACAATGAACCTAAAACTAATGTTTGTTTGTTTTGTTTTGTTCTTTGTCATTTTGAGACAGAGTCTGTCTCCTTTTAACCCCAGCTGTCCTGGATTCACTATGGAGACTAGGCCTGCCTCTGCCTCCCAAGTGCTGGGATTAAAGGCGTGCGCTATCATGCCCGGCAAAACTAATGTTTTTGGTAATGACCTGTGATAGTTTACCTTGATTGTCAATTTGATGAGATTTAGAAACACCATGGAAACAAATCTCTGGACATGTATTCAAGGGATTTTCTAGATTAGTTAGGTTAGCAATTTCACCTTAAATGTGGGTGACATTACCCCATTGGCTGGGGCTGGGATCCTGGACAAGGAGGAAGGGAGCTGAGTAGCTGCATCATCTCTCTACTATCTGACTGTGAATACCATTCTTAGCTCCTCTTGCTATGACTTCCCTGCTGTTACAGATTGTACGCTCCAACTGTGAGCCAAAATAAACCCTTAAGTTCCTTCTGACAGGCATTTTGCCCCAGCAATACACAAAGTAACGGATACAGAAAATTAGTAACCGGTATCAGGAAAGGGGTGGTTGCTGTGATAAACCTGACCATGTAGCTTTTAGAAGTGGTTTGCTTTAGGAACTTTGGGATAGAAAACCCCTATAATGCTGTAAACAGAGCTTAATTAGCCATTCTGGCTTGAGTTTAAAAGACCAGAATATGGGGGGGGGCGGGGGGAAGACAGACAAAAACAACAACAAAAAAAACCCCCCAAAAACCAGGGATAATGGAGACCTGGTTCATACAGTTCCAGAGAGAAACAAGGACTCTACAGGGAACTAAGAAAGAGAACATTTACGTGATGTTCTGGCAAAGAATCTGGCTACATTCTGCCCAGGTCCCAAAAACTTGAATGAGGCTGAATATAGGAGTAATGGGCTTATTTGGTAGAAGAAATATCAAGAAAAGACAGCATTCAGCTGTGGCATGACTTCTGCTCACTGCCCTCATCCAGGTCTACAGTAGAGAGCAGAAAGTGGAGTGGAAAGATTATTAAAATGTGCAGTTTGAGGAAGAAGGTGCAAGAGTCTAGAGTTAACAAAGACATTTGAATGCAGGTGTAATTGTTAAAGAAATTAATGCCATTAAACAAAACAAAAGCAGAAACACCTGGCACTGTGCACGGAGTTGCCAGGAAAGGTACCCTGAGGGCAAGACTCACTTGTGAGAATTCAAATTCATTTGAAAGAAGAGCATGAACTGAGAATGCTTTAGAACAGCTTCCCTGCTCAAAACAACTGCTCAGGAAAGTGCTTTTGCAGATTCTGCAATCAAGGCACAAAGATGCCACTACAGCTGTGGCTCAAGGGGCCAGGATCCAATCCTGAGCTGTCAGCAGAACCTGACACTATCAACATCTGTGCAGTACTTGATTTTGTAGACATGAAAGATGCAACACTGAGGGGGTCATGGAGTCTGCTCTAAGGTTTCAGAGGGATGGGCAATGTGTGGCAGGTGAGAGCCTGCAAAGAGGCTAAGAGGCTACTACATAAAGCTGTGAAGATGAAGTCTAAACTGCAGTGGTGATCCCAGGGTACTGGAGATGCCAGGACCATGACACACTGTATGTACAGCGGAGCTAGAGGGCTGGGCTTCTCATGCCTTGGGGCCCAGATGATTTCATCACGAGTCCCAGATGATGGACATGGAGCTACAGGATTTGTGGTTTGCTCTACTAGATTTCAGTCTTAATTTGGTTCAACCATTCTTTGTCGTACCCGGAAGGACCTATCCTTCTCTCTTTATGAATGGGAATGCTGATTCTGTACCACTGTACACCAGAAATATGTAACTTGTTTTTTTACTTTATAGTAGCACATAGACTGCTTTGAGTCTCAGATGACATTTGGACTTTTAAAGTATTGAAACTGTTAAAAGACTATGAGAACTTGGAAGGTGGACTGAATACATTTTGCACAGAGATGACCATAAGCCATGGGGTAGTATGTTATGGTTAATCTTGATTATCAACTTGAAGGGATTTGGAATCAAAATGAAACAAACCTCTGGTAATGTCTGTGAGGAGTTTTCTAGATTGGGTGGGTCAGCCCCACCTTAAATATGGGCTTCACCATTCCATGCACTGGGGTCCTACACTGAATACAAAGGAGAAACGTAACTGACCAGCACTGTTCATTTCTCTCTGCTCCCTAATACAGATGCAATGTAACTAGCTGCCTCAAACTTCTTCACCTAACAGTCAAAATAAACCTTAAGTTGTTTCTGTCATTATTTTGTTCAGCAACCTGTAAATGAATACAGTGATCTACTCTGGAGTTAAGGGTATGCTACTTGGTAAAATAGACTACACAGATGTGGCACCCATGTTTTTTATCTTATGTTTGGAGACCCATTTAGGGCAGACAGATGTCTGATAACTGAATGTTTCCCATGGCCTGATTCAGGGACAGGGGTCACTGTAACCACTGTGCAGAGAGGACATCTTGAACAAACGTGAGGCCACAAAGGGCCTTGGATCTCCCCTGAGTTTCACACTTTGCAGAAAGGCTCAGTTTTTTCTTCTTGTTAAGTCCTGTCCTTCCATGGACACCTTATCTATCAATTCTGCTTACTAAATCCACAGTAGCTTACAGGGAAGTCACTTGTGACAAGTGGGAATGGAGAGAAGGAAGGAGCCCCCATTCTCCAGGGCAGGGTAGAGCAGCAATCTAACCTGCTATTGGCATTCTAATGCCCTCAAAAAGGGCGATGGCATTGGGAACAACTTGTTGCTGGGATGCAAACCATGGAGCTCCTAGGTAGCAAGGAACCGAGGACTTGTCAGCTACACTGGCCAAGCTTCAGACAGTTATCTTACTCAAGGATTAGTTAAGCTGTGGGAGGAGACAAGAGCCCCCAAACTGGGCATGAAGACCTCTGGACGGATGCTCTCATGGTCCTCTCTCAGTGTGCCTGTGAAAATAGCTACCTGCCCCTAGTAAAAACAAAGTGTGTGCCTTGAGTGAAGACAACGTGATGTTTTCTAAGATAACCCTGTTTCACTCAGACAGACCCACCCCATCTTCTCCCCTGGCCAACAGTTATAACTCACCTCCTCCCTCAAAGGAACAGTAGGTCTGTGAAGGCTGAAAGAAGACTTACAGAAATAAATACCAAGGGCGCCTGACCCACAGATCAAATCAGGACTGGTCACTGATTTGGGGGGGGAAAAAATCAATTTAATCCCCTGACAAGCTCCCCAGGAAATGCTCTGTCCCTGTTCTTTAAATGTTTTGAGAACGAGAAAGTAGAAGGTCAGGACTACTGTGGCTGACTATGAGAGGCAAGGGTGGGGTAGGGGGGAAAAAGATGCCAGGTAGGGCTTGTGGTGAAGCCAAGACGAAGAGTCATACTGAAGCCTGATGCTCTGGAGCAAGGCTGGGCCATTCTCTCAGCAGGAAAAGATGTATCTGTGTCTTGAGTACTGCTTGGGATCTGTGAGAGGAATGGTTATGTGGCTGAGGGCATCAAATGAAATGTCCACCAGGAGCTGAGCTCCTGTCACGTAGGGCAGGCAGCAGATGCATAGCTGTGTCCTGGCATATATCCCAGGGGGCGAAGGGCAAGTGGTCTGGGATCCCATCACCTGTTGGACAGGTATCCTGCCTCATCCCATACCGGTGGCCCTATAGGGGTGGGGGAAGAGGGTGGTTCCTGATGTGGTAAGGTGAAAAGGAAACAGCAATTTCACAGGAGCCTCTCCCACAGTGAGAACCAGCAGCAAGGAAATGGCCACAAACGTGGGGTGTTCCTGGTCATGTACCAGGAGAAGCAGCAGCAAGTCTAAGTTAGGGTTAACAGACCCATGGCAGTAGTAGTTGGCCTTAATGACTGGCCAGGGGCCTGAAGATTGGGGACAAGGGAGAGTGTGTGAAGGAAAGGAAGGAGGGATGGATGTAAGAAGAATGCAGCCTGCTGAATCACGTCTATGTTCAGAAGGGAGCCCCACCTTGGAAGGGGCACTGAACTAGGGAGACTATGGTATTGGCCAGTCTTGGTTTTGGGCCACGCCAGTCCTGGTACCAAACCCACATAAATGGAGTAGGTGTTGGTTGAGGGATGGTGAATCTCAGCACCAACTCCAACATATGCTTTGCTAATGTCAACTGAAAATCCAGTCTTCCAGTGAGAGACACCAGAACTGAGCTGCCTGCATGGAATCATTCCAAAGGACACTGGATTGTTGGCTCCTGGTGGTGAGCTGCTGTGTTCCAGTGAGAACTAATGCTGTTACCCTGTCTTGCCTGTAAGTCCTCAGGCTTTATGAGTCTTGGACTGGGGTGCCACAGTGCTGCTGAGACCCTGGTCAAGACATACACAGGGCATGCATATGTTGTAGGTGTTGTTTTCCCATGGTGGTAATATGGTACTCCAAAGACCTCTAGATTGTGCTGTATTTCCAACAGCAAAGGTGTGTGTGTGTTCAGGGGCTCGAGTGGAACACAAGATTCAGGTTTCTCCTGTCAATGGCAGTTATTCTGGCCCAAGTAGGGCAATGATGGGGCCTTAGCCCTTGGGGAAGTGTTTCACCAGAGTGATCAATCAATGGGGATAGCAAAGCAGCCGCTGTGGGAGGGTACATGGAGCCGAGAGGCAAGGTGGTGTGAAACGAGATGGACAGTGGGGCTGGGCTTGTTCTGCCAACCTTTGTGTTTCACATTTCATTGAAAGAACCTGAATATTTGAAATAAGTTTAGACTTATGTGAAAGTGACAAAAGTTTACAAAAGAAAGTTGCCAGTATCTTTCCCCCAGATTTTCCTGGATTAACATGTCGTATCTTATGATGAAAATTAGAAAATGACCACGGTCACCCTATTACAGACTAGACTATAACCTGTACCAGTACTGCCAGTTTCCTCACCAATATTCTTTCTGTGACCCAAGAGTCCACCTTGGGCCCTGTCACACCACTCAGTGCCCCTTACATCTCTGCTGCTCCTGAAGGGCATTGCTCAGCAATGCAGCCTGGTCTGCCTCAAGTTTTCTTGTTTACTAGACTGAGTGATGGTGTTTGGCAGAGTTCCGCATTGTGGAGGCTGCGGTATCTCCGTGCTTCCCCTGGGGATTCTCCGAGGTCCATGTGCCTTATTTATAAGTTGACTGCTCTGCAAAGATGTGCACACCAGGCTTTTCTTCCGCAAGCAATGAAAGGAAACAAATATCTTTTCCCTTCATCATACATTCTTGGGGTGGGGGCGGTGCCTAAAACTGTTCTTACTGCCTCATCTCCCTCCGGTACGTCGCCTGTAGAAGCAGCCTTGGATCCTGGAGGAGCTGCCCAATGTGCAGGAAGCACAGGGGTGCACTATGGGAGGCCAAGACGGGTGGCTGTGGTCCCTTTCAAGAGAAGCCTTGCTGCTCCACCTGGGAGCAGTGCTGCTGGCAGACAGCTGTCGGGTCCTCCAGGGAAAGACTCAGCTCAGTTATTGCATGCCTGGGCATAACACTCCTGTGCACCTCGCACACAACAGTGATGGACAGACACAAAGCAGCCATGTCAGTCCACCGGGGGCAGGCACATGTGGCTCCAGAGCTCCAGCAGGGTGGCCATAGCTGCATCACAGCCTGACCACTCCCTCTATCCAGTGTAACTTCCTCTCCAGTCCTTCAACAGGTACCAGCCAGTGGAGAACTCTTAGTTCTGCCTTTACAGAACCCCTCTCATGACACTACCTTTTGCCTTAATTCAAGGACTAAGGTTCTTGCAGTTGCTTGTCAAATTAAACTACAATATAAACACAGATGATTACAAACAGTTAATAAAACCACAGAATCATGTGGGGCAAACTCTTTCCTATGTAATACTGCCCCTTTTTACATTTTTTTTTTTTAAATGGAGCTTTTTATAAGGAATTTTGCATTTGCAAACTCTACTGTTTGGGTTATGAACTGGGTAACTACTGACAGCAGATATCAGTGTTAAATGTGCAAAGCTGTGAGCTCCTCCATGAATGGTGTCCTTCTCTAGGGAACGGTATAGCCCAGTATCACAATATTCCACGAACCAAACCTAATTACAAGTGTATCTGATGCAAAGTCCCCACAGGATGGCACACCGTATACAATGAGCAGAACAACAACCAAACTAGATGTCTTCAGGGTGTCTTCTAGAATGATTTTTTTTTTTAAACGGTACTCACAGATGGTCCTCCCATAATCTTGGGAAACATAACGGTAGAGCAGCCATCTGGACTCTGTCCGAAGGTGGTATAGGGTGTTTGAAACCAAGCCTTTTCGTTAGCCCAAACCACATCACAAAGAGGCAATATGGACGCTCCTAGTCCAATGGCTGGGCCATTAACTGCTACAATAATAGGCTTCTTAAACTGAATGAAAGTATTCACGAAGTTTCTAAAATGAAAAATAAATGGGGAATTACTGAAAACATTGCATATTTGAGCAGATGAAAAAAAAAGTCTATCACGGAACTCAATTTACCAAGACATAAACTATGGAAATTATTAAGAGATGAGATTTGTTTTAGGCCTTCTCCCAGAAGCTGTGGACTATGGATTTATTTGGTGTATGTTTAAAGCTTAATGATAGCTTGACCCTCATGTAGGAGATGGTACTGCCACAAGTTCTGTCTCAAGTTTTGGAGGCTGCTTCTGGGCCTGCAGTTTGCTTGTGGGTTTCCTGGCTAATACATCTTGGTCTTTAGTCCTTCCTCTGAAGACCCAGGAGCCCACTCCCATTACAGGATTCCTGTGACCACCAAGGAGCCACCCTGAGGAAGCTTGTCCTGGGCACACAAGAGAATGCCTGATGTTGAACGAACAAAAGATAGGTGTCAGAAGGCACAGAGTCAGGATTCTAGCCTTGGTATGTGATTTCTGCCAGCTATTATCTGGAGATAGCCTGATTTTATCCTAAACTGGACTAAATGACTTTATGCAGTACAGACAGGCTGGTTTGTGACACGAGGCTGGCAAACAAGGTCAGTCAGCCCTCCAAAGGCTTACATCTGCATTCTACAAGTGCTGGAGGATCCCACTACAGGATGAATTCAAAGGAAAGCAAGGCAAGGAGCAGGGCGGTCCACATACAGGGCATGCCTAGTGCACCAGTCAATGCTATTTGGAGCTGGCTAGGTGTTCAGAGATAGCATCTTACTGTGATTTAATACAGTGGAGGAAAGGTAAGCAACAAAATAAATACTACAGACTGGAGTCTTGCTCACTCAAGCTGAATCCTACCTAGATCAGAACTGCTGGAAAAACCAGTGCTTTTCATGACTGAGTTCTGAACCTGGGCCCATGGTTAGCATCCGGTCATTCTATAACCCATCAATTTCAAAAGCTGGAATGATGTGCTTGCATCTCTGGAAACCATGACCCAGCACTTTTTAGGTGGCCCCTAGCCTCAGGACACTTGCAGAATGGACCATGGGGCTTTTTTTCTACCTTTTCTTTCATTTGAGGGGTACATCAGGGAGGTGAGCAGCCAAGGGCTGCAGAGTTCAGCAGCTTGTCAAAGATGTGGTTGGCCAGGCTGACCCCAGTCTGGGCAGAAAGCCCCCAAAGTTTGTGGGATCTTTGGACAAGAATTAAGTCATTCAAATGAAGGAGTCACACTAAGACTTCCTAACTGAGAAAGCCTGAGGTACTGTTAGAAAGCTCACACTGGGCTTTAATATACAGAGAGCCAGACAACCTTTTAAGCTGGCTTTTGAAGAAGCACAGATACTGTAAGTCTTGTTGCCTTTTGAGGACTGAGGATCAATGAGGTGGGATGGAGAAAATTTCCTATGCTGCTGCTGACACCTTTGGGAAAGGTAACTGCTAAATTGGCTTCTAGGACATGGAGCAGATGTTCCCAGTATGTTTTCTGATGCCCAGAGTGGCTCCAACCTCAGCTCCCAGGGAGTAGAATTTGCCCCAGTGCTGACATTGAGAAACCACAATGGCGTGGCAAATTAACATGAGAAGAATGATCAAAACTATTTTAACACTAAAATGATGCTTCAGAGAACTAGTACACAGTTTTTGCAATAATGTTATGCTACACCTATGTCCTATGATTGTATAAAACAAAATCTGCCTCTATAGTCTAAGATGAGAAAAAGACACTTGGACTCAATAGACTGGTGAAAATTTATTTCCAACAAATTTTTTTATTGCTGCCTGGAGTAATGTCAATTGAAACTGATGCCACACACAATGAACCAAGACCTTCCCTTTTCCAGCAAGAATCCATGCTGATGTGTGAACCTAAATACCATCAAAACACAGTCCGCACAAAATCTTCACAGAAGCATCCTGTCTAGTAGAAACTTCCCAGGGCCACAAGGCTTAGTCTTGTGAGCTTCAAGCCAAGCTACAAAGCTCCCCAAGAGGGAAGTAGTGACTGTCCTCAGGCCAGGGGCTGGAGCCCTCAACAGCCAGGGGTCAGGGGAAGGTTTGCTAGCTGCTTTTGTTGGGTATGAAAAAGAAGTATATTTTAAATCTTAGAAATGCACGAACATTCATGTGTTCCTTCTGAATTATCTGTGAGTTAACAGTTGCATTGGGTACAACAGAGAAGACGACAACTTTTAAGAGTTAGAATCAAGCAAAATTCCTGCTGTGAAGAACATTTATTAATCCAGACATCAAAATGTTAGATAATCAAGTAAGATAAGGAACTGCTGGGGAAACTGAGGCTCTGGTGTGCTCACAGCCAGTCTGTTGCCTTGTCCCAGCTGAGTTAAGCAGGACTGAATGGGAGACGAGGTCCAGTTTTTGGGGGCAGTGGAGGCATTGCTTTGTTCTCTCCAAATCCTCACTTATCGGGGGCTGCTGGAGAAGAGGCACTTCCACACAGAACAGGAGTCTAGCGGGGCTCCACGTCCACAGACGTTAACCAAAGAGGCCGAATGCTGTGAATGGATTTCTGGTTCTCATGCTTTTATGGCTAAGGTACTGGACATTTTATTATGCAGAATCTGCGAAGTGGTCATCACTGGCAGGTCTGACAACAGAATCTGTTGCCCTGGACAGTTGCCAACCTAATGCTTAATGTTCTTTTCGTTTTGTTTTTATTAAAGAAACATGCCACAATGAAGTAATTTGCCTCAAAGTTTTAAGGATTTAAGATAAGAAATGACAATATATATAAGAAAAGAAACAAAAAACATACATGCAAACGAGCAAGAAAAAGGCTAACTGAATCAGGTGACTTGTTTTTTAATCTGATCCTGCCAAAGTATATTAAGAAAAAAATCTTATTAACAAAAATATATTCACTTAAAGAAACTGAAAGGTTTTGGGGAAGCAGGATTTGGCTGTTTCCTAGAATACCAATACATGGGGATTAAGAAGAGAAAATGGGAGTGGGGAGGCCAGGCAAAGAAATGGGAATGAGAAACAGGAAAATCAACATGTACAGCTACCTGAAAGTTCAAGGAATGAGACTGCTATTTAAATGTCTCATCTACCTTTTCGGTTTTACTAATCCCAACACCACAAGCCTCAGCCACTGTCAAGAGCACTTCGCCACCAGAGGGAGGAGTGCGCTCAACACCAGAAAATTCACAAGTGGAGAGGAAGGAAAAGTCTATCGAGAATGAAGCCAGACTTAGAAGACACTGAGGGAAGTCCTAGTTCACTATGCCAGGGCTTTCAGAAAGCATGATTTTCTACGTGGGTTCGGTGTGAGCCTCGTGAAAAACATACAAAATTGCCACAAGGGGCAGGACAATTTGGATTAAAAAAATGAAAGTCGAGTTCATCCTTAATGGAGAGGCTGATAACGAGGCATTTCTAAAGTTATCTCAGAGCATCTGACAATCTCAGAGATTTATGTATGTTCACTAGTCAGTTTAATTTCAAACTGGAAAGATGATGATGCCATCAAGTACTACACCAGAAATTTGACCAGAAATAACAATTTTGAATAGCATGGCAACACCCAGAAAGATACCCAGCAGGCACATAAACCTTTAGCATTGCGACACAATACTGTCATGTGCAAATTTCATGCCTGAGAACAACATTTAAAAAAAAATGTCATTAAGCTTTAAGTAAGTTGATGACTTTGTGTTGAGCTGCATTCACAGCTGTCTTGGCCACCTGTGGTCTTGGGCTGGACATGCCAAGTGTCTATTGATTTTGAAAATGAATTGGGCAGTGCCAAGGCAATACCTCATAACTCCAAAGAGTGGGTGGGGTTTCAGGGTTTGTAGAACCATCTGGGTAAGCTGTCAGAGATGACCTGCCACACCCCAGGCCCTATTAAACAGGAATAAAGTACCCCACCCCTGTCATGCTGTGTCTCCTGAATCATTTAGGGGACCAGAAAGCTCAGTGCCACAAGAGCAATGCCTGGCCTCAGCCACATGGAGCCCGTTAACTGTCAGAATTTTCAACCTTAACAATAGAAAGGACTTGGGAGTTTTGGAGAAGAGCCAACCTACTAACTGCACTTCCAAGCCTGCATCTCTTTGCATGTTTAATTCTCTATAAATTAGAAAGGCAAATATAAGGACTCAAAGGAACTCATGTAGGGATATGTCCTAGAGAGGTGGGCAGGGTAATATAAATCTTCTGTTGGTGACTGACCATTCACTTTAACTAAAACTCACCTCTGAAAAATGAGACACTTTTAATTATACCTGTAGTAATTAGTACAGTACAGGATGTGCTTACAGAATCTGGAGGTTCTGGGGGAGACTTTGAACTGTTAGGGCACAGCAGAGGAAAAAAACCACCAGAGGGGAAAGGGCCCTGTCTCCAAGTCAGTAATGTTGAATAGAAAAAGCAAAGTGGTAAAAACCCACGTACTCCCCAGAACCCTAACCAAGTTGGTTATTACTTGTGTGTATATATTTTAAAATGCTTAGATCAAGGGCATGTTGACTATAATTAGCAACATATTGTCAACTTGAAAACTGTTAAGATAGGTTTCAAACTGGGCATGGTAGTACATGGATATAATCCTAGCATTTGGGAGACTGAGGCAGGAGGATCACAAGTCTATACAGTGAGACCTTCTCTCAAAAAGCCAAAAATGAAAAGATTTCAAATGCTCTCACTACAAAAGTGTGAGAAACAATGCATGTGTTAATTAGCCTGATTTAGCCACTCAGCAATTTCAAAATATCTTTTTTATCATCTGTCATTAAAAAATTTTTAAAGTGTATTTACGAAAGGGCTAGGAAAGACAAGTGAGCCGCGTGCTTTTCAGAGTGGACTGTAAGAATAGGGGGCCTTTAATTGTGTGTCGTTTATGCTTCTGTGTAGCTGAAGGCAGAACAAATGAGAACAAGGTATATACTATACTGCTTATATTTAAAACAAACAAACAAACAAAGCCAAATCTATCCATGTGAATTGCCAAAAAGCACAGATCATTTACAGTAAAGCAAGTGGTGTGCTACTGTTTGGAAAAGAAGGCATCTTTATGTAAGGGTTAAGGACAGAAATACAGCACAAATACAGATTATGCTAAATCATCACAATGGCCCCCAGATGCCCCAAGCTTAAACCAGTCTTGAAATCAGTGATCTGCCCAAGGCAAGTAGTAATTTATGCCTGGCCCATAAACAAGGCAGAAGGCTTAATTAATTTTGCTACCAGTCCCTTTCAGAGGAAGACGTACACTTGATTCTTGAGGCTTGTATGGGCCTGTTCTCCCAAAGACCGGTACACTACAAAACGTGGAGTCTTGGTCTAAACCCTGTTTGTGCGTACCTGATAGCGTCTGCCATCTTCGTGCTTTCTCTCTTCCTGTCGTCTGTGAGGCGCCGTATAAAATAAATGAAGTCAAGACCGCAACAGAAGACGCTGCCCACAGCACTGAGCAGCACCAGTTTGCTGTCGTCGGCTGCAGCTGTGTTCAGAGCACTCTGGACCTCTTTCATCACCTGCAAGTCACAAGTTCAGGTGGTAAAGAGCATTTTTGGTAAGAATTCTACAAGCATTGTTATGGGACAATACGAGTCTACAGAAAACGTACCCCTAGATTGATGTGATCCACTTCATCCACCACAACTGCGAATACTTTACATACTTCTTAGTTCTCTAACCAGAGATTAGGATGCTAGGGGTGGGGTATAAATAGAACTATAAAACTGATTAAAATTAATTAGAAAGACATGTGAATCTACATCCCCTGCCTGCCTGTTCTATTGCCACTGTGACTTCCAGCAGATTAAAATTGTGGGACCCACTGGAATTTCTAGTTTGGACAGCAGGTGGCACATTCAGTCAGTTCAAAGAAATGAGCTCAGAATCAGTTTTTTGGTTTTATTTTTCTTACCAGCCTACCACCATGGGGACAGACATCTAAATCATTGGTGCCCAAGTGCATTAAGTACTAGCACATCAGCACGGAGGGTAGAAGGGCACACATTATATGAAATGATCTCTGAAGCATTTAAACCTAACTAGCAAAGGTGCCCTGAGGTCTACAAATGTCCTGATTTGTTCTGCAATCCTGGCCAGACATCCAGACGTGCCTAAGTTGTGCACAGTGGCAAACAAGCAGCTATCAGAACTCAGATCTTTTGTGAGGTACAATGCAAGTTCAAACATCTTCGTAGAACTGATTTCCAAACCTTTGCAAGCACCAGTTACCCTAAGGTCTAGCTGTCTTACTAGGCTTTACTGACAAAGAGCAGGTGTGGAAACCCTTGTCTTGTGTTCTGCTACAGTGCTGAAGGGGATCTGTACAGCAGGATGATTGTCAGGTACTTCCAAGGGGCTGGGACCCAAGGTTTCTTATCTTGTCCAAACAAAGAACCCAGCAGGATTCAGATGAAAACTAAAGCAGAGCCTGTGCACATATATTCCCATGTGACTTTATGGAGGTCCCAGGGCCGCTGAGCCCACTACAGACAAAGAGCTCTTGACCTGGGGGTGAACAAAGACAGAGGCGCAGCTACATGACCCCCTTCAGAGCCATGGGTTCCACAGCAGGAGAATGGAGTGGTTGCTAAACACCTGCCTACTGTCCCCTGTGCCTGTGGTTACAAGTGTGATGAGGAGCCGAGCTGCCATACTTCACGCCTGCTTCCTACCTCTGGTGGGCATCATGAGCAGGCCCAGAAGGTTTAGAAAGAGCAAAGAAGGAGTGCCACTCAGCAAAGCAGGCAGGGACATGGGTGCAGAGAAGCACGAAGCGTACCCTGGGGCACATCTCTCACCTCTGGATTTAGTGAGTTATTCTCTGATGATTTTGTGGATAACAAGATGTGGGTGAAACCATCTTGCTTCCTGACGACAATATCTCTGTATCTGTAGGCACTCTCTGTCTGCCTCACACTGAAACGCAACCGCTTGTCAAAAGGCTGGTCTCTTCTGTCGTCAATAAATTTCCTTTTCCCGGCTGTCACTCCTGTAACAGACGTCTGTATGGTGGCTGTTCCATTGGCTGTTAGTGCATCCATGAACGGAGATGTACCTGCCAAGAGTTTGAAATCACAGTGGTCTATGATGTCCTATGACCAATCCAGTCCCCAGTATTGCCTCTGAATTAGACAAAGATGCCCACTGCAAACCCAGGACTTAGCTATTAGCGCAAGAACATTATGAATTAGAACCTTTTCCAAGTTTATTTTTAAAGGTATTTGTTTCCCTTCAGCGTCTAACCAAGAAATCACCTTCGTGCTTATCTAGCTTTAATAAAGCAAGACTTGTAAAGAATGGAACTAGGACAGAAGGAGAGTACATATTCTAGGTCTAAGAAGTACAAAGAAAAAAATGAAACTGACTGATGAAAACATTAAGAATTAAGGCCCTCTGCCACCTAGTCAGTGCTTTTCCTGACTGCAAGAGGGACCTGTACAGAGATACAGATGCAGCCATCTGCCTGGTCACCACTTCAACCACTGCTCCCTGTGGGGTGCCATAGACATAAGGACTCCTTCCTTGCATTGCTCCAAAAGGGGACTATGAGAAGACCTGTCTACAGGACCCAGTTCTACATTTCTCAACAGTCCTTTAAACAGCTGAAGACAAGTCAGGTGTTGTGATGCACACCTGTAATGCCAGCACGCAGGAGGCAGAGGCCCTGATGGATCTCCTGAGTTCTAGGCCAGCCCAGGGCTACATAGTGAGATCCTGTCTTAAAAAAGTTGAAGACAGCTCTCCTTTCCCTACCTGTGTCCCCTTCATGTGCCATCATCGGTTCGCAGTATCAACATGCTGCTGTTCCTCAACTTTACTTTTCTGGTGCTGGGGTTTATCAAACTCAGGGCCTCATGCATGCTGGGTAGACATTCAACCAATGAGCTACTAAACCGGAAACCCTCAAAATGTTTTATTATAATAATGTGGATGGTGTCATTTAATGCTGTACTTAAGTTATAAGATTTGTCAGAGCACAAACTCAAGTATTAAGACAATTATCCTTTTATCTATATGAATAGAGCCTCTGGATAGAAAAAACGAGGAAAGAAATGTTATGAAAAACAAACCAGGCTAGATTTATAAAATTACCAAAGGGAAAATCATGAAGAATTAGAAATCAGAAGTATTTCCTTCAAAGTTAAAGAAAGTAAACCACAGGCACCAGAAAAGACTCAAATGGACATTTTAGAGAAGGTACTTGACTGCCACTCAGTAGGAGGAAATACCAGCATGCACTTTAAACTCTGGAATTGAAAAAAAAAAATCCCTCAAATCTAATCTTTTGAAAGGTCTAAGGATGTTATAATATACATGTATGTTTGTTTTAAGAATCTAAAAACAAGCTGAGTGTAGTGGCACATGCTAACCACCCAGCATTAGGAGGCTGAGACAGTTGAACCATGGGTCTGAGGTCAGTCTGGGGTAGAGGGCAAGACCCTGTCTCACCATCCCACTGCTGAATCCAGAGAATTGGGTTTCTAAGGTGCCCTTCCAGAATGTCTTTACATGCAAAGAAATCTGGGTATTTCTTCTTTCTTCCTTTTAACAAACACTTATTCAGCTAGGCGTGGTGGCTCATGCCTTTAATCCCAGCACTTGGAAGGCAGAAGCAGGTGGAACTCTGTGAGTTAGAGGCCAGCCTGGTCTACATAGCGAGTTCCAGGTCAGCTGGGGCTACAGGGAGACCCTGTCTCAAAAAGACCAACAAACAAAACAAAACAAAACAAAAACCACTTATTCAAGTACATTAGAAATAGGGCTATAGTATCATGTATTTTGCTTTTACTTGTGACAGTATCTTGGCACTTGCTCCCTTATCAGGACACTATTCTTCCTATGGATGCAAAGCAATCACTGCATGGATGTATTCAAATGCATTTCCCTCAACTCACACTGGAATGAGCACTACTATTCAACTACCAACAGTGGCGTACGTCACTCCCACATAGGCAAATCCACACAGCATGTCCCTGATGGATGTGTAACCTGAAGTATTTTATTTCTACCAGAAAGAAAATTTGTTTAAGATGTTACCTGCCAAGACAGGATGTTGTCGAGTCCCTCTGAGATCTTGGGAACAAACAATCCTGTTTCTTTTACCCTTCATCTTCTCCTCTACCAGATCCTCTCTGACCCATGCTTCAACATTCTCCCTTCTCTTCTACTGAGAAACCCTCTCTTCTTAACCTCTTCTTGGCAGCTCTGCCCTCTACTTACACGCACACCAGATTCCCTGGTCTATATTTGCTATTTCTACTTCATCCCTGGCCCATCATCCCTCAGTCCACTTCAATTCAGAACTAGAGTCAACAGGGTCGGGTGACAGAAATTCTGAGTACAGAAACATGGACCATAGGTGACTCTGAACCACTGAGCCAAATGAGCAGAATGGGGGCATCCACAGCAGAGTCTGGTATGAGGAGTTAAGGGATTCTGGCTTTTCTGAGGGTGAGGACATTCGTGGGAAGATGTTATACAGCCCAGAAGAGGGGCCAGGGGAGGCAGGCAGCATCCCCAAAGGAAGAGCAACATTCCATTGTGAGGCCAAGAGAGGGCCACAAGCAGGCAAGGGGGAAGCAGAGGGGCAAGGGCTTATGAATAGCTTTCCAGAGGGAAAGGGAGAATGCCAGGGCAGAGGCCACCAACAAACCCTAAGTTCAGTCACACACTGGGCACAGAGGTTGAACTGCAGGACACAATGAAAGACAGACGCAGACTGTTAAGTAAAACCTGTAGCGTTCAAACCAAGAATCAGCTAAATAGAAAGTGAGAGGACAGAAATCAGCTATATAGAAAGTGATGCTGGGGCTGGAGAGATGGTTCAGCAGTTAAGAACACTGGTGGTTCTTGCAGAAAACCTGGGTTCGAATCCCAGCACCCACATGGCAGCTAACAACTGTCCATAACTTCAGTCCCAGGGGATTCCGACAGCCTCTTCTGACCTCCACAGGCACTGCACGACATGGGTGCACTTACCTATATGCAGGCAATACACGCATACACATAAAATTTTTTAAAAATTAAAATTTAAAAAAAGTTTAGGAAAAAAAAAAGTGATGCTGACAACAATGACTTCCCTGCCTAAAAAGAGACGATGTCAGAATAATCATATGCGGAGGCAAGTGGGAAGGCCACATGCTGAAGGGATGCAATAAGTCACAGACTGGCTAAAGACTCTGGCCTTCTTTATGGAAGGGCTTCTAGCAGAGCACAGCTTTAGTACGCTAAATCTTTAAGACTTATTTTCTCGGAATCAAATTATTTTTTGTGAATGAGCATATCGCCGGCATGTGCGTAAGTGCACTTGTCATGCAACTCCCATGGAAACCAGATCCCCTGGAATTTGAGTTACAGATGGTTGTTAGCTGTCATGTGGGTGCTGGGAACTGAACCTGGGCCTCTGAAAGAGCAGCCAGTGATCTTAACTGCTGTGTCATCTCTCCAGCCTTCTGAATCAAATTTTAAATTGATACTACACTAAGTATAAAAAACAACATGGTGGAAAGACACCCCCCCCCCAACCCATATGCTGAAACTATCATCCATCTTGGAGAGGGGTCTTTAGGAGGTGATGGAGTCACAGTGGCAATCCTCACCCTCTCCTGATATGTAGAACCCAGCTAGAAGGTGTGGCCCGTGGACCAAGAAGTCCCTGCTTAGGTATCAAATCTACTGGTTCCTCAGTCAGCCACCCAATATGGTATTTTGTTAGAGAAACCTGAACACCCGACTAAGACAGACAACAGTGGGGTCCCTGCCACATTGGAACTGCTATTCCTTCCCACAAAATCATTTTTCTATTTAAAAGCCAAAGATTCCTTAAACTCTCCAAACACTTTTCCTTATGTTTTCCTATCATAAAAAGAAGGATTTCTATGCCACGAGGTCCCTACTGCCACTGTACACAGCCTTGGAAACAGCCCAACATTTCCTCTGAGGCAATAGCTCTTACATAGGTATCCATGAATCTGTTAAGATGGATGGACTCATGCTGATCAAGACTACAGAACTTGATCAAAGGCATCCTGTGTTAAAATCATGTCCCTAAGACTTAGAAGAGCCAAGTAATCCCAAAAGGGGGAAGGGGAGCAACACTGGAGGTACCACAATATCTGTCTTCAAACTACACTGTAGAGCACAGCAACAAAACCACTGTGGTACTGACAGAAAGACAGGCATGTAAAAACACAGAATAGAACAGAGGAGTCAGAAATAAACCCGTATAGCTCAAGCCATGTGATTCTAAGTAAAGGTGCCAAAAAACATAGCAGATGAAAAGACAGCCTCTCTCTTTCTTAATTTTTTTATTTTATGTGTATGTATTGCCTGCATGTAGGTAAGTGCACCTGTGTCGTGCAATGCCCGCAGAGGACAGAGAGGCTGCCAGATTCCCTGGGACTGGAGTTATGGACAGTTGTTAGCTGCCATGTGGGTGCTGGGATTCAAACGATGCTGGGGAAACTGGATATGCATGCACGCACACAGAATGATACCTGGTATCTGTACAAAAATTGACTGAAAAATGGCTCAAAGACCCAAAACAAGGAAAACACCTCAAGGCATAGTCAGTGACTTTCAGAATGAGACTCTAAAACCTCAGGAAAGAGCCGCAAGAACTGACGAAAGGGACTGTACCAAATTAGAAAGCTTCTGCACGGTAAAGGAAATAATAACCAACTGAGTGAGGAGACAGTGTACCAAATGGGAGAAAACCTGTCAGATATACATCAGACAGGGAATTAATGAATTTAACAAATTAAACACACCCACAAATCAAATCAAATAAAAAAATGTGAATTAACTGAGTGGACACTTTTCAAAAGAAGTACAGACAGACAAAAACATGAAAACACCGTTCAGTGTCTTTAGTCACGAGGGAAAATGCAAATCAAAACTGAGATTCTATGTCACCCTAGTCAGAATGGCTACAGAAAACAAACTATAACAAATATTGGTAAGGATGTGCAGAAAAAGGAACTCTTATACACTGTTGGTACAATGTAAACTAGTGCAGCCACCACTAAAGAAATCAGTATGGATGGTTGTGCTGGA